TACGTTGGGTTTATACCAATTATTAATTGTTTGGCTTATAAACATTTTTTGTTAATAATACGTTTTTCAAAATTACTTTGGAAAACGATTTGTACCTCTCAGTAAAACGTACTCAGAGTAACACTCCCAGTAAGAAGACCATATTTCCTGTATAATATTATGCTGACCTCATCTTACTTATAACTTAACAAATTGTATGGTAAAAAAATTCCGTTGAACTCAATAACTTTCAATCTAAGAAAAAATTGACACACATTATTAAATGTATAAAGGTTTAAAAATATTATTTAGGGCACTTCGTAGGATTTGTTTTTGTCTATTTTAAAATTAAATTATGATCAATTTAAAATTTCACTTTCTTGTACTCCAAATAACAGATTTAAAATGATTATTTTCCCGTACTATGAGCTAATTGATGTGTTAATAAGACGGAGACAACACACAGATTATGCGACGTCCTTTTAAGTTAGTTAGGAAAAAATAAATTACTTAATAGTTGCACCAAGGTGGCAAGGTGAATATTTCAATATTTAAATTAGAGAAAAGTACCTATACCTAATACCTGATAGATATTAKAATAATTATAATCAGCATTGTATGCAATGTTTACTTTATATATTTTATTAGCGTTAACATGTTTATTATGATCAAAACTAGAAACATAGGCATAATATATTGTATTCAACAGAGTAGAATGTGATGGCAATTTTCCAGAAGTAAGTGACCCAAGTATAGGAATTCAACTAATAATCGATACCTACATGCAAGTCGAAATGAGCGTGTTAACGAGTCACCTATGATCTGTGGGTATATACATCGATGTCGTACCTCTTTTACGTGTTTTTACATTTTTACAGTCTCGACGTGTTATGTAACCGCTACAGCTAGTCGTCTTCCCCTTCTACGCCGATGATGGCAGCGTCGGCGGCGGCGGTGGGTGCCCGGCTGACGGACGTTCCCTTTCCCGTGCTTAAGATCAGTCTACGATGAACGGTCGATGATCTCTGACATAGCTTGTATTATATCTTGTATTATATTATTATTATTTATATTACATCGGTTCGTACCACGCGGAATGTGGCGCGCTCGACAGACCTAAAAAATGTTTGCTGTATGTGTTATACGATAAAGTAGAATATACACCGAACGTGTCGAAGAACAGAGAGAAAAGAAACCCCATTCCCAATTTGGCGTGCGCTTTTCGACCTTGTGTTTTCGCCATGGGCCACAAAGATGAGAAGAAACCGTTATTGGCCAACAGCAACGCCGACGATTTGCGACCAGAAAAAGAACATAATGTCACCCGGTACCGGAGTCTGGTGAGTACCTGCGAACTACACAGTTTTTAACGGTCCTCGCGACATCGATAAATGATTATCTTTTAAAAAAAGACAATAATTGTGGTTATACGTTCAATAGTGTCTAGATTCTATACGTAGATATTGTCTTCGGTGTATAATTCGACGTCAAATACACTACAACTCTCRACCCTCGTCTATTAGTTATTATGTATTTATTATTATTATTTATAAAGTTTTCCTGGCAAAGTCATCTAAACTTAGATATAATGTACAATATTTTTAGCTATTTATAAAAACGATATTAACATAATATTATGTATAGTAAATAACTAGGTTAACATATTAGCAATATACCGCGTCTATTATAAAACACAAAATCCCGTCGAAAAATGTCGGTAATTTTCCTTTGAGTACAGAACCGTTTCGGAGATTTCAATAAAACGTATAGGGCACATAAACATAATTGTACTTGACACTTGCAGGAGAGGGGGTTAATATAAGTTAATCATGTCATTGTATGCTATAAAATCGTATCATAAATGTACATTGTACAGTATTTCTGCAGAACGTTCATAAAATTTAATACTCTAATGATCTAATGTATCTATAAATTATAATATATAGGTGGATAGTGAATACTACTTACAGTGCTGACAAATACGTGTTTCTAGTTTGCGGTGGACTCTTTCAGTACAATATTATTGTTATTTTCCTTTTTGAAAAATGTTATGTTTATAATTTATACTTGGATAGTCGGATAGGTTACAGGATACAGGGGTAACTTACTGCTAAMTATTGCATACACTTCATTATCGCAATATAGAACTTAATTCGCAGTGTCTCTATATTATCGTTTGAATTTAGTGAGAAAAAAATGAATAATACACGATGAAGACGTAAACCAATATTTAATATTATATTGTAATTATTTTATTTAACGGTTAAACCCAACATAGGTAATACAATTGTACCAATAGGTATATATATATATATAATATTACAAATATATAAAAGAATAAACAAATACATAGTGGTCGCAGCTGTCGAATGATTATAGAACTTAAAATATTCATTTTCTGTGGTCTTATGAGGATTAGGTTAGATTAAGTTATTTCAATTAAATATGAAATTGGTTCAATATTCTTTAATAATATACATTATATAGGTACTACCTAGGTATAACGTTATGTTAAATATAATATTTAGCCGGCATAAATAACTTGATAAGAAATTAAACTAATGTTTAGATTTATCACATAACATAGTATATGCATTACAATTTATATGGTGCAATATTCCTAGTCCTAGTTCAATAAATATATTTTTCAATTATCCAAAATGTATTTCAAATAGAAATTTAAAAATGGTTCGTTTACTTTTTGGTATAGGTAACTGTGTAAATATTAATTATGTACAAGCACATGATATGTGTGTAGCAAAACAAGTTCTTAGGTCTGGGGGAAAATATATTTTTTAAATTTAACGATAGATATTTTCATACACTTAACAATGTTGAAAAAAAAATCGAGAAATTGAAATAGATCTAATAACATCTACCATAGAGATATAAGTAAATACTCAAATTTACCATACTTCATTTATGAAATTTAAAAAAAGAGTATTTGTACGTTCTATACTTCAGATTATAAACTATATAAAGTTTACTTTTGCTTAATTTAGATGATAAGTATTCTTTTGAATCGAATTTAAATGACCTAATTATAATCATATTGTTATATTATTCATGTTCCATGCTATATGATGTTTTAAATTTTACCTAAGAGCGGCTAATCATTCAGTTTGGAAAAGAGAAGGGGTTATCTTATCCATTAACWATGATACAGAAGAATCTAATTATAGGGTCGAATATAGGAAAAAGTCATGATTGATAAATTATGATTAATTAAGTATATTACCATTTTTATATCAGTGGTAGTAAATCATTTTATTTAATTCAAGTAAGCATACACGTAAATTGCATTACCATTTGCCTCCGCAGACCGTATTTGTACGTTATTATTACATCAAAAGAAAATATTTTGCTAAAAAGCTATAATTCAAAATTTGATCTTATCAAAACATACACTGGTCGACCAAATTCAGAACCATTAACCATAATCAATAATATGTGTAGGTGCTTCTAAACTGCAGGAACCACTGTACTCAGCAAGACTTGATATAATTTACTTTGATGTTATTTAATTCCCGTTTAAATGTCAGTTAAAACACTTAAAACTGCACTTGCTGACATTCCTTCAATTGATTTTCACATAATTTAATATTATATTCAATTTGCTATTGCCGAATATATAGATAGTTTTTCTTACACTAGCATAAATTTCTAAGGCAATCAAAAAATTACTTTTTCTAAGCGTTGTTTGCAATCGATTGATAATTGTTTAATAATCTCTTTGGAACCTTTGGAACCTTATAGTGCTGAACAAGACAACATTGTTAGGCGGTAGTAATTATGTTTTTGTTTGTTTATCTATAGTTTTTTTCAGTTTCGTATAGTAGAAATATGATTGTTAAGTCTCTTTAAATATATTATGATTACTATTATATAATATTATTACAGTAGTTTCTTGTTTTGCCTAAAGGTTAATAAATAATAATCGAAATTAATAATTTTTTTAAAATCTCATAATATTGTATTAGCCTAACTTAACCTTACGTCGATGCATTTATTCTTAAATTAAAAATGCGTAATGAAGTGACTAATTTACAAATGACGTGTTAAGCAATGCATTTAGTCTATCCGTTATACGAGTAATTATAATATATTATAATGAATGCAATAATATAAGTTACGACTTAAATATGCTCGTAAACAGTCTACTTACTTTTATCGTCCTATACTAATAAATAATCGAGTAAATAATATACAATATTAATAGCGCGAACGTTGTATACCTTATATTATTATAATAATTATGTGTTATAATATTATATGATACTATATAGGCATGGTCTATAAATGGATATGATAATTTTGTTGTCGTTTCTAGTTCCTGAATGTGTTGATTAAATATAATATAATTAACACACTTTTCAGTTTTCACAACTAAACAGATAATTTCACCGTTATTATAGCTCAATAGGTACCTATTGCAATAGCGTACATGATTATAATATTATGTTAAATGTATGATTTATCGTAATATAAACAAAAACAAATAAAAGTACTAGGTACTAAATGCGAATATCGAATATGCAATATAATTTTAACTCATACACATAACTCATATACTTTAAAAATGAATTGTTCAGTTGTCGATTCTTGCAGGCTGCAGAGTGAGCGATGGATTTTGTAGGATTGAAGTGAAATATATTAGCTAATATCCATGKACCATATTCTAAGCAAATCAATGTTATTATTCGATGTGATTATTTTTGTGGTTTTGTAACTCTTTTTATCGTAGGTTCCAATTTTCAAGTTCAAAAGAAG